TACACCAGTCAGTTGTTACCAGACTGAGGCTAGTGCCTCCAACATTCTAGGATCTAGTTGTCACTACTTTTTGCTTTCCTAGGACATGTATGTTAGTTAGTTGCTCCTACTTTCACTTAGGCTGTTAGCTGTGACATTGCTGTTTTGTGACATTTTATATCGTAGGTTGCATCGCATGGACTCAGCATGGAGCTTGCTCCGCATCCTAGACTACTCAGGTTTTCTTTTCTTTGGTAGAGTTCCGCTTCTCGGCGGAAGCATGTTTGTATCTAGGCGATCCATCACAGGCCGAGGATCGTGTAGCGGACCTCGGGTTGGCCTGTGAGACCAGCCCCTTGGCCTGTTCTCACAGGCCTGTGTTACATTCGGGGTAGGCCAGTCSAGGCCGGTACCTCTGTCGGTACCAGCCAGTCCAGTCCAGTCCCGTCATTCCGCTGGGGTATACCCCAGCCATTGTCTGTTTTCAGTCTCATTCCTCACTTGCACATTTTGGAGTACGTGCGTTGGAGTCTTGCGTGGGGAGCTGCGTTGTGCCATCTTGCTCCCACTTCTTCCTCCATCTCCATCTCTGTCACTAGCGGAGCACCACACCTGGTGGGTCCGCTACAGACCACATACACAGAAGAAAGGTCCCTCCTTGCACACGCACATGGGGGAGATACCACGGATGAGAGATGGGGGGAGAGGCGAGGCGAAGATGGAGGGAAGGGTGAAGACCGGGAAACTGCAATTTGTGTGTGTGCGTGCGCGCGTGCGAGGATTTGACCCCTCGGCAGTGCTGAAAAAGGCCTTGCCCGCCCTAAGTGGAGGCGGGCCTGCCAATATGTGCCAAGGCCTGCGTACAGGCCAGTGTGATCACCCTAAAGGGGCCGTACATGTGCAGGGAATGAGCCCTCGCGGGGCTTTTATCAGATATGCACATGTTCTTGGCAGAGGCCCTCAGCAAGCCCTGTGCCCGCCCTGAGTGAAGGCAGGTCTGAATATTCACAAGAGGCCAAGATTTGACATTTTCCCACATGTGGGTATCAGACAATTGTAGCACGCCAAAAAAAAAAAAAAAAAAAAAAAAAAAAAAAAAAAGAAGCACGCCAGTTGGTTACAGAGCAACGTGAGCCTCTCCAGGCTCTTTCTGGAAGTTGCAGCCTCGACGGGCAGTTCATCCCAGGGCCCCGTACAGTTAAGGCCCTGGGCGTGTGCTTTCAGAGGCCGACACATCATACAGCAGCCACGGACCAATGAGATGGCAGCATTGTCGGCACATAGTGGTCGTGAGCCAATGACATCACAAAGAACATGTGGAGGCTCGTGGACTGCCTGGACGTGCCCAACTGTAAACTGGAGGATGTACCAGGCCTGTAACTGCAACTGGGCCTGTGCGCAGACACTAATGTCCGACTGGAAGCTACGGTATGAAGTCCCCGTCAGGCCCAGAGGCAGCAGAGGCTGAGCTCACTTTCCATATAGGAAAGTGAGCATCGCTGGGCAAGACATTCTGGCCTAGGCAGGCAATGTGGCCACTCTGCTGCATTGCAACTTTGTGTTCAGTCAAAGCTGCCGGCATTGCAGCAGGTGCGCGGGCACTGCGGTGTGAGGTGCACTGCTGGGCAGTGGGCGCAGGGCAGTCATAGCCGGGCTGCTGGGCGCAGATGTGGGTGGCGATGGTGGTCTTTGGGTGTTGAGGATGCACACTGTGGGAAGTCAGGGGTGATGAGGAGAGACGAGATACATACCTGGTGCTTGATGGGGTCAGCTATGGTGTTGACGTCATGTACATTGGTCTTCAAAGTGAACGCTGGTGTAGTAGGATATGCGAGTAATGTAGGCTGGGCGTGGGCGGCCAGACAGAGTAGGAGCGACATTGGATATGGTGTTGGTGTGGCCTGAGGGCTTGGACATTGGCTCGTGAGTTCATTGTATAGCTCTTATCTGAATGGAATCTCGGCGCATTTGCGCTCTCTGCTTGTACATGACTACTTGGACATTTGTGTGATTTCGCAACTTCGTTTTCTGTATATCGCTCTTGCTCATATTCTTTGCACGCGTTTGTTTGATGCAACACATTGTCATTCTCCCTCCCTCTCTATCTCTCTCTCCCTCTCCCAGTCACGTTGTAGTAGCTTTCGTCTGTTTCTCTTTTTGTATGGTTTGCTTGTGATGTCTCTGTTTGATGCAGCACATTCTGATTCTCCCTCCCTCTCTATCTCTCTCTCCCGCTCCCAGCCACGCTGTAGTAACTTTCATCTGTTTTTTTTTTTTTTTTTCCTTTCTTGTGATGTCCGATGGGAGGTGTGGGGGGGCAGTTATGACTTGTGTGATGTGTGGAGGCTGTAATGAATGGTCCCCCCCGCCACCCATAATACGTCAAAAGAATAAACAAAAAAAAAAAAAAAACGAAAAAGATGAAAGCTATGGCAGCCTGGGAGGGAAAGGGAGAGGGAGAGAGAGAGAGAGGTAGGGAGGGAGTATAGGAATATTCTGCATAACACAAACGTGGCCAGGCACACACACAAATATCTATTTTTTTGTGTGTGTGTCTGAGGCTTCGTGTATGTGTGTGTGTGTGTGCACGATTGTGTGTGTATATGTGTGCGTGCGTGTGTGATTGCACGTTCTTGTGGGAGGATGGGTGGGTCGGGCGCGCCCCGTTGGGCCACCACACAAATTCCATTCATTCACTCTGTGTGTGTGTGTGTGTGTGTGTGTGTGTGTGTGTGTGTGTGTGTGTGTGTTGTCATGCTTTCTTTGCGTGTATTGCTAATATGACAACACACACAAAAATAAAATAAGTGTGGCGGTGTATATTTCCATGTTGTAGTGGGAGATTCATTCCCCCTATCGATGGAAGTGCCACGAGGCCAGCCGCGAGGTTGGAGTCTAACTTGTTCTCTCTCTCTCTCTCTCTCTCTCTCTC